TAAAAAATTAATTTTTAATTTATAACCATCTAATTAAATTTATTTATTTGATACTAAAATCGAAAATAATTTTAAATTTTAAATTTTTTATATATATTTATGATAAAATAATATTCTTAAAAACACATTAAAAAAATCATACATTATAAACTCTAAAAAAAAAAAACTCAATTATTAAAGGTTATATATATTTTTTAAATACCGTATTATGTTTTGGTACATACAAATTAAATCAGCATATAAGAAATTTATTTTATATTTTAATACAAGTCAAAATTTTCCATTCCTTCGAAGTTATTGAGTCTAAATTTGAACAAATCTTAAAATTATTTGGTTTGAAACATTAAAGATTAAACCATAAAATTAATAAAACTCTATTACTATTATTATTATTATTATTATTATTATTATTTTATTTCTCACATTCTTATATTTTCCTTATGTCACCTCATAATGTAGGGATTTAACTATAAACTAAATTGAGTTATTTAAGCCTTGAGAGCTTACTTTATTTAAAGGTTAGAGTATTCCTACAGTTCTCTAAAATACAGTCATACTCATACTTCATTTTACTTTTTTTTTTTAATCCCCCATATTTCCTTTGTTGAAAAAAAAGGGTTCTGGAACCCATTTGAACGTACAATTAATGAGAAGGATTTGAACTTTGAAGTACCCATGTGAAAGGTGTAATTGTCAATCCATCTTAAAGAGGATGGAGAAAGAGATAGATGATAAAACGAAAATGCTAGTGGGAAAGGTCCCTATTAGGCTGACCAAAATGCCATGTCCGATTGACTTTTTTTTTTAAGGTTAATTTGTTATTTAATCTCTATTTCTAATAATTTAAATTTATTTTTTATTTTTTAATTAAAATCAATTTAAACTCATGTTTAGGGGTTTAAAATTTGTAGGGTTTAGCATTTAAAATATTAGAATTTAATGATTAATCTATTAATTCGAATAGAAATAATTTGATTTCCCTTAAATGAAATTTTAAATTCATTCACAATTGTTAGGAAAATTTCTCTCCAATGAGATCTGACCAATTAGTAAAAAAAAAAAGAATTCAATGATTAGATTAATTTATAATTTAATATCTAAAATGTTACAATTTAGATTTTTTGAGTTTTATATTTTATAATGTTAAAACTTAAAATTATTTTCAAATTAAGTATTTATTGGGTTAGAGTTTAAATTTTTTAAAATTTGCCATTTAATATTTTAAATTTTAAGTATTTAATAATGTTTATAAGATCAAAAAATAAAATTAAAAATATTAAATTTAAAAAAATTAAAAACCTATAGTTGGCGACCAATCAACATGGGATCGGTCGGTCCATATAGCTGTATATGATAAAATGATGTGCCCTTTCTCTTCTTGACTTCGATAAGGCCCCGTGTAGTGTAATTGCTAAATAAACATTAATGAAAATGGACCCAGCATTTATATCTGTCCCAATGAGCCCATCGGTGCCATGCCTATCGTTTGGCCCTTTTCTTTGCATTATGTAATCCCACTTGCCTCTTCGACGGTGCCGTCTGGGTCGAGGGTTCTTGCGAATTCGCTCCAGCCTCCATCTCCACTCCTTGTAGAATTATTTTAAAAAATTTCCCTACCCAATCCCGTTGTCTTGCTTAATCCACCGTGCCTTCACTCATAATATGTCCTGATTTTTATTTTTCTTTTTGTTTTCAACCCATTATTACTCTCAAACAATCAAGTTATTATTCACTTATTTGCTCCAAACCAAAATAATTTGAGACATAAAATTAAAGATTACAATTTTTTTATCTCTAAATTAAAATAATATTTTAAATTAACAACTATTTAAGTATCTCATTAGTCATCCTTTTCCGTTGGAAGTAAAAAATTTTAAATTCGAGTCACATGATATACAGGTGAGGTAGGATAGGAAATAGAATATATTCGTTTTTCATTGTGCAACTAAAATAAAAAAATAATATATTAAATTTAAATTTTAGAATACAAACTATATATATATCTCTTTTGTCACTTTTTCTTAAAATTCCTCTAATAATAAGTTTTTTTGTGTTGTGAATTTAATAGGATTTGAGTTCTTCAAAACTTGCTATTGTTTTGTTTTTAATTTATAATATTATATAATATTATAATTATATTACTTTTAATAAAATAAATAAATCATCTAATCGTTGAATCTTACATTGCTATTGTAAAATTTCATTATAAGAAAAAATTGGGTAAATTAACTTTTCTTTTTCTCTAAAATTCAACCTTCCTAAAATCTCTCTCAAGATATGCTTAATAGTCGTGATAAATTTATGAGCAAATCGCATTTATTAACGCAACTTATTAGATGTACAAGAGGTTAAACAAAAGAATGAAATTTAATATGTACCAAAAAAGAAAAAAAAGAAGAATGAAATTTTATACTCCCATAATCGTCCTATAAATATACAAAGTGCTGTGTAATAAAAAATAACTATTTTTTAAGAGGTTAAACAAAAGAATGAAATTTTATACTCCCATAATCCTATAAATATATAAGGTGTTGTGCAATAAAAAATAATTATTTTTTATTTTTTTATTTATTCTATTTGTATATTTAAAATACCATAATTTAAATAAATTATCTAAATAACTCAATGATTATCTCTTTTCGTTATAAGTAAAATGTCATAAATATGAATCGCATGGTATACGGTGGAGTGAGATAAGGGATAACAGATAATTACCTCCCATTGTGCAAATAAGATAAAAAAAAACGTATAACTTAAAATCTCATATAAAATTACCAGTGAGGCACTAAGCCCCTTACGTCGTCGGCAACCATAAAAATAATTATATAAACTTATAATTTCTCTAATTTCTCCTTATACATGTGAAGTTTGGAATATTTGACTTGAATTTACAATCAGCTTATGATATGTGATTAATTTTTTTTATAATTTTTATATGTTATTAAATAAATATATATAATATTATAAATTTTAAATTGAAAAAATTAATCATTAAATAATATATATAATTATATTAATTTTTTTTTAAAAATTATCCCTTTATCATTTTTCATTTCCAACCCACTTCTTTATCATTAAGGTACACCTTGGCATGCATCATAATGATTAAATTGAAGCCTTTATTAATATTATTAATATTTTTGAATTTACAACTAGATAATGAAATGTAAATAATTTTTTAATATAACTTTTTGAGCCAAGCTAGAGAGGGATTTAGAGAAATGAAAAAACTATT